GAGAATACTTTCCTTTCCAGGTACCACCCTTTGAATTTTGTGTGCATTTCTATGTTATTCCTAGAAGATTAGTTACTTATGTAATAGACCACACTAGTGAGTTTCCTATTGGAAGCATCCACCAGGGTGTCTCATGGCAGTTTATGTCAATCAGATTAATCCTGTGGCTCCTAAGCAGCCCCTCTGTGATGACCCTGTGTCAGGTACAGGGCATGCATTTTGGAGAAGGACATGGCCCCTGCCTGGGAGATTCCAGAGCCTGATGGGGGCACAGACTCAAGGAAGATCATTGCCTTCCCAGGAAGGCCGTCTGCTCCCAAGGGCCTCAGACATCCTAGCCTTCCCCAGCTGTTGGGTGCATGTTGGGTGTGACCTGGGTTGGGCTAGAACCCTGTGCACAGCGGCCCCTCCCATACCCTGGCCTAGGCTGAGGGTCACAGGGTTGTGCCAAACAGGGGACTGAGTACAGGGGACCAGAATCAGATGGCCTGGGTTCAAATCTTGAATCTCCGTCACCTTGCCTTAGGTTAGTCAAGGCAGCCTTTGGAGTCTGTTTCCCCTCCTTACAGAGGTGTGGTGGGGATTGGTGAATTAAATTAATAGCAGCGCTCAGCAGGTGGGAACTTCTTCCCTATCCACCCCCCCGCCCCGCCCCTCAGCAGGAGTCAGGGCCATGCAGGCCAGGGACCAGGGCTAGGCGGGCTCCTTCCTGCCAGCCCCAGGTCCATCCCATTTTCCTGTCTGGGCCATGTGCACAGCAGTGAGGGCTGGCCCAGCCTCCAGCCTGACAGTGCTGCACGCTCTGTGTTTAGCCTGTTGGCATAACAGCACCCACAGGAGAGGCTCTCCCCAGGAGCAAATGCCTGCCCCTGGGCTCTGCAGAGGCACCCTACCTAGGGGAACCTGCCAGGGAAATTGCCAAGGGGCAGAGGAGGTGCCCCTGTGGGCACCACAGTCCGCACCTCGTCTTGGCCCTTTGGTCTTTCCCTTCCATTGTGTGGCCTTACACACTCGAGCAGCTCCCTTACTCTGTTGAAGCCTCTCCTTCCCCATCTGCAAAAGGGCTCACAGGCCCTCCCTCCCAGGGCTACTGTGGAAAGTGTCCAGCCCAGAGTAGGGGTTCAAAATCAAAACAGATTTTTGATTCCCAAAATCACAGTTGGGGGTCTCAGTTCTTCTTCCCTTCAGGGAACCCCAGTCAGGAAGATGGCTTTTTAGCATCATACATTGTTGAGTGCACTAGCCCTGCCCTCCCAGGACGTGGACAGCAGGTATAGACGCCTCCCCACCTAGCCCCCAAACCAGCAGTCCCTCCTCTGTGTGTGGGCCCTAAGTGGCTGACATTGGGGCATGGGGCACAGCCTGTCCAAGGAAAGGTCACGGGGTCTGGGCAGATGGCGAGCTACTTGCTACCTGCAAATACCTGGGAGCATCCATATCTGCCTTTTCTAGTTGTTTTAGAAGGTGCTCTGTCCTCTCAAGGCAAAGCATGTGAAACTTGAACTCTGGCGCAGGGCAAACATGGTCCTTTTCTTCTCTCCTATGCCACACCCTGGGCTGCCAATGCTTCTGGCCTTGCATGTACTCAGAAATAAATCTATGAACGAGGGGCGCCTGGGTGGCTCAGTTGGTTAAGTGTCTGCCTTGGGCTCAGGTCATGATCTCAGGGTCCTGGGATCGAGTCCCACATCGGGCTCTGCTCCCTGCTCAGCACAGAGTCTGCTTTTCCCTCTGCCTGTCCCCCTGCTCATGCTCTCTCTCTCAACTAAATAAATAAAATCTTTTAAAAAATGAATCTATTAATGAAATATTTCCAATTGCCAGAATATATAAAGAATGTTCTAATGGCCACTCATGGTAATGGCCTACAGTTGAAGGCCCCTGTGTGAGCCTCTACGTGAGCCCTCCTCCCCAGAGGTAAGCTTTGCTCTGAGAATTGTATTTATCACTTCCCAGCCACATACGTAAAGACTCCTGTACAATAGCTAGTGTTATTCTGCATGTTGCTAACCCTGATAAAGCATATTATACAATATATAATCTACATCTTGTTTCTCTTCGCCTTACCTTATGCTTGTGAGCGTCAACCATGGAGCTCTAATTCATTTTCAAGCTTGTAGAGAATTCCATCATGTGAACAGGCCGCAGATGACGTATCTAGCCTCCTACTGATGGGACATTTCGTTTGTCTCCAATTTTTACCATTATAAACAATACCGGGATAAACATAATTATACAGACTTTTCCCTCTGGCTAGGATACCTCCCCGCCTACTTTGGCCATCCTTAAACTCCTGTGCATTCGTGGAAACCATCCCCCCGGGGCATCAGGCCCCAGATTCTTCAGGGTGACCTCCTCGAAGAGCAGCTGGACCCCCTTGTGGAGTGGCCAAGAGGGTGTGGTCCTTTGAGGACTCTAGGGGGCCCTGGGCTACTACTCAGGAGCAGACACACATCTGGATCCCAGCGCATTTGCCCAACCTTGTTCCCAGAAAGGAATGCAGGGCCTTAGGATAGGAATTGATGGTGGCTGAAGAGCACGGGCTCTCAAGTCTGCATTTTGGGCATCAAGTCTGCATTTTGGGCAGGGCCCGGTGGCAGGGCTCAAACTCATTCTGTGTGGCGCCTGCTGGAGCAGATCCGTTGCCAAATCTGAGATGGCCTGGGGGCTGGCTGGGCTTTGATCTACGCTCTCCAGGGTGCTCCAGAACTCCAGGAAAGCGGAGGCAGAAAGCTCCTTGGGGCCAGCCTGGAACAGGGCCAGCGTCATTTCCACCGCATTCTATGGTCAAAGCAAGTCACAGGGCCCTCCTGATGAGAGAAGCAGCACACAGTTTACTCCACCCAGGGTCACGGATCCTGACAGAGGCAGGTGGAAAACCCAGGTCTGAGATGCTGTCACCTGTTTCCCACGACCAGAGCCCTTCCTCCGGGCTTTGGCACATGCTGTGTGTGCTGCTGGAGACCCTCCTCTAAGCCCCGCTTCACAGATTGGCCTAACTTCCACTTACCCATCCGTCAGGGGACATCACTTTCCCCGGGGGCTTTCCAGAGCTCCACAACCCTCCCTCCTACTCCTAGAGCAGCCTCTACTGTTGCTCCCCTGGCCTCTCCAGTTAGAGCACCAGTTCACACCCCATGCCATGTCTGGCACACGGCAAGTGCTCTGGGGATATCTATCCAGTGATGGGATCCGCTAAGGGTGTGCTCTTTGCACACCGGCCCAGAGAGCCTCCCACTTAGATGCTGTGCTTGTCATGGACCCTGAGACGGAGCTTAGTGTTCAGGATGTTCATTAGGAAGTTTCCTTGAGATTAACACCCCTGTGCAAGGGATGGGAAGGAAGCAGGAGTGGACTGAGGGAGGGCCCATGGGAGGAACCCATGACACATTTGACTGGCTCCTCGGGGAGTTCTAGGGCTAAAAGAGCCAATCAGCAGAGACTCCAGACTTTCAGTTTCTTGTCTCAATAGGCAGTGGGATGTGGACAGCCTTCCCTGGGTGTGACCTTGTGTGAGGAGGCTCTCTGCAGCAAAGCCTGTCCCTGAAGGGGCTGAGGTCTGAGGGCTCTCTGCTTATAGCATTCCTCGTGGCTCGCACAGTAAGTCCTTCCTTGCAGGGGCATTGGGATGACACATTTCTGTTTTCCTCATGGGGTTGGAGAGCAGTGGGGAGGTAGTGGTCCCTGAGAGCCGCTACGAGGACCCGTGCTGGAGGAAGAGTTGCTGCGAGAGCAGAGTGAGGGAGGGTTCTACCCACATCCACGCTTGGGGGAGCTGGAGTTTCAGGTCTGGGGCTTCATGGGACTTCATTCCATTCCATCAACGCTCAGAGACAGAACGTCCAGCTCTTCTGTGCCAGGCACTGTGCCATGTAGTGGGGGATATCACTTGGGTGTGAGTCATGGCTCTATGACCTCGATGCCCTCCTTACTGATCCCCTCCCCTCCATGATCCACTGCCTACACTTCTTCCAGACTGATCTTTCCAAAAGGCAAATCACATATTCACCTCCTCTTCTGAAAACACACTGAGAAATCTCAGCTCCGTGCCAGGCCCTGCCAGGCCCTCTGTGATCTGCCCTGTCCACCTCTCTCACCTTATTTCCTTATCCCCTTGGTCACCCAGCCCCAGTCATGCTAAAGTTGGTCTGCCTTGGCAATTACTAGGGCCTGGACCCACTTTCCCTCCAGATGTTCAGAGATGCTTCCTCCATGTTTGTAAAGCCTCGGCTCAATGTCACCTCCTTCAGGAAGCCTTCTCTGATTACCCCCTCGATGCACTCCTTTTTTTTCATATTTATTCAACAAATATTTATGGAGAGCACTTACTATTTCCCAAGCACTTTTCTAGGCAATGGGAAAACACGATGAATTGGAGTCCAAGCCTTGCCCTCTCGCAGCTTACATTGTAGTGGAAAAGACAATCAATGAACAAAAATAAAAAGTATCGCGATTTCAGAGAGTGTAAAGTGAAATGCAAAAACAAGAGCAAGGTAAGGGGGCGGAGAGTGTCTGGTCCGGGGTCCCTAACGTCCAAGCTCAGGGCAGCCTCTCCCCAGCCGCGGTGTCACTGTGGGGACCCGCCCTGGGCGCAGCAGAGTCGAGGGCGGCGCGCGGGGTAAACGCGGGAGGTCGTCGGGGCGGCGGTGAGGGTCCCCTGGGCCCCGCCCTCGGGGGCGAGAGAGGAGGCCGGGCCTCAGCCCCAGTCCGAGGCCGCGCCGCCCCCTCCCGTCCCGCAGACCCGAGGCGCGCTCGCTCCCGGGAAGGGCGCGCCCGAGCGGGTCAGCCAGGTGCGCGGCCTCCGGAGGCCCCCGCCCCGCCGCGCGGCCCGAGGGGGGGCGGGTCCGGCCGTGGCCCCGCCCCCGGGCCGTCCATAAATGCGCCGGGCCGGCCGGCACCGCGGGTTGGGAGCGCGGCTTCCAGGGGACCGGGCGAGTTCGGTGCGGCTCGCCGCTGTTTCGCTGCCACGCCTGGGGCGCGGCGGCCGCGGAGCAGCAGCCATGCTGTTCTGGCACACGCAGCCCGAGCACTACAACCAGCACAACTCCGGCAGCTACCTGCGGTAAGGGCCGCGCCGCCCCGGCTGGACGGGGCGCGGCCGGGGCCGGCGGGCGAGGCGCCGTCGGACGTCCCCGGGTGGGGCGGGAGCCGCAGGGTCCTGGGTCCCGAGCGCCCTCGCTGCGCCCTGGCCTCCCCCAACCACCCCCGGCTGTCCGCCCTTTGGGGACTGGGAGGGACATCGCCCAGAGTCCCGCCTGGGGACGGACTCCGGCGGGACCCGTCCTCCCTTGACCACCCTGGCGGGCGCGGAGCACACACGTGCTGGCTGGCCGCGCCTCCCGCTCCGTCCGCCTCCCCCGTCCCTCTTCTCCCGGCTCGCGTCGGAGCAGAGGACACTTCCTACCATCAGTCCGGTGCCCGTCGTGGGGAAGCCTCGCCCCCTGCTCTTTGCCCCTCTCTGCCCGGGTCCCTCTCCGAGCCTCGCGCCCTCTCCGGTGCCCTTGGGCGGGCCGGCGAGTGAGTGGCGAGGGCCGACCTTGCGCTTCATTCTCGCGGCCCCGCGGGCGGGGGCTCAGGGACAGGTTGCCCCCTCCCTCCAGGTGGTCTTGCGTGTATTGGCCTGCGGCCGGCACATTTATTGCCCTTGATGGAAATCTTTCTTCTTCTGCAGGGACTTGACTAGTGCTCTTCAAAGGGAAAAGTAAGTCCGCCTTGTTTTTCAAAGTTCTCTCCTATCCCCTTTAAGGAAGTCAGGAGCCCGTTAGCTTCAGTTCCTGGAGGATTGTTTTTCCCTGTTCTGCAGCTGGCTGGGCACTAATGGGCAGTCATTTCATTTACTGAACTCGCCTGAACCAGCTTTAGCCTGTCTTTATTTCCATCCTAGTCACAGTTTATGAAATGTGTCTAATTTAACCCAAAGGGCATTTGGTATGGGCTCAGAGAAAGTGAATTGTGAGGTGGAAGGAATCGCTGGTGCCAACAGCCCCGAAGTGAGAGCCATTCTGAGTGCCCTTTTTTTTCTTCCCTCCCAAGAAGTTCCCACTCAGATTTAGCAGTACACGTTATTTGGAAGTCCTGGCTTCTGATAAGTATGTGTCCGCTAGTCCTCTCTGAAGACATCGCCGTTCCAGAAGAAAAGAAGTGATTGGGTTTAACTGATGTGTCCTCTGTTTTTTATTCATGGGCCTGAGTAGTGGGAGGCGGCCAAAGTCTCACATCTTAATTAAGGAATGATGGCCTTCCTTACAGACCATGGAAATGTCACCAGAGGGAAGCTGCTCTGGGGGATGTCAGAAGTCCACGGGGCAGATGTTAAGAGTCTGCAGAAAATTGTGTCCGTTCACCTGCATGAAATGCTACAATGGAGTCCGCTTTTATTGTACTGTGTGATGGCTTATGGTTGTGGTTTTGCCTAAATTTTAGTTTGTGGCCATTAAATATGTTGCCATATCTTAAAAAAAAAATGAGTGTGAAGGTGACCTTGAGTGGAATGTGAGTGTGTGTAAAACTTCCTGGATATTTAAAATGTCATCCCATTAGGAAATAGTTCTTCCCTTGTATGGGAGGTGCTTCTGCTTCTGAAATGGAAATTGGTCTATGGAATTCCTTAGATACCTTTTTAGGATTTTGGTATTGTTTAGGGGTTGGGAGGTGGGGTGGGAATTGGGGTAAAAGGTGCCAGAAAGCCATATTGGTTTCTGGGTCATTTAGGGACCGTGGATAAGGAAGCATTTGGTCCATGCTGTTAAAAAAAAAATTTTTTTTTTTTTTTTAATTTCATGTCTTGGAACCTGGGATTTTCACCCTCTTAGAGTCTGACCTCAGTGAAGGCCAGAGTGAGGGTCAGTGAATATGCCACTGGTTCCCCCAACTCTAGAGTGAGAGTCTTGTCCTTTTCCTTGGTTTATATATTTTACTTTTGGTCATCTCCTTACTCTGCAGAACCTCTGCAAGTTGTCTGACCTTACGAAGGTAGTGGCCTTTACTCCTTTCTTCCTTTTTTCTGTTTGATGTTCTCGTGACTTTTATTCCTTGGCAAGTAAGGATGCCAGGCTTGAAACAAATTACTGGTGAGTGATGATTCTTACCACCCCTACTTTTCTTTCCTTTCCTTTTCTTTCTTTCTTTCTTTTTTTTTTTTTAAATTTAAAGGCAGCAGCCCATGGATTATTAACTTAACACGGTCTGGGCAAACATGAAATTATGCAATCCCCAGGTGAGCAGGCCTGCTTGCTTCTCCTGTGTTCCTAGATAACCGCTTGGGCTGGGAGTGTACGCCAGGGTGGCAAAAGGAAGGGGTGGTGTGGGGGTAGCCAAGACAGCACTGCTCCTGTCTTTGGGCTGGGGATGGTGGCAGGGGCGGCCCCCACACAGGAGAGCTTCCAGGTGTGCTCCAAGCCAGACTTTAACTTCTGAGAATTGTTTGGGATTGCTGGGGTGTGTGCCGGGTTTGTGTTTTAGAGACTACTGGTTTATTGTGTTGTACGAGGAACAGATTGTACCAGTGACTACTGTTTATATAGTGAAGTGGAGTCGGTGAATCTGATTCATAACTCAGGACACTCAGAGGGAGGAGGGTTATCAAGATAAGGACACAGCACTTTTGGGGCACCTGTTTCTAGGTGGCTTGTAATTTAGAGGTCTTAAAGCCTCTCCTGCTCACAGGTCATTCATATTCTCAAGAATTTCTTTTTCCCATGTGAGGGCATTTAAAAAGTACATCTAGAGACAAGTCCTAGGCTGATGCGAGGCTGATTTTTTTTTTTTTTTTTTTTTTTGGATATGGCGGGGAGTTCTGTTCAGAGGTGGAGGAAAAGTATCTCTGAGCATCTTGATATTTTGCATTTGAATAAGAAAACTGAATTAAAACTGAGGTCTTTCCTTCTCGTTTTGCCTTTAGGAGATATTAGTGTTGACCCTTAAAATCAGGATTATGGGCCAACTGTCCATTTTTATTTGAATGTTGGGGGTGGTGGGCTGTCACAGCCCGGATGAGTGAAATGCAGTTCCATTTGCATAGTTTACAGATCCCTGAGGACAGGGTTGAATTGGTCTGAGAAGCTGCCAAGGAGTAGAATAGTTTACTTGAAAAAAAAATGAAATTTTTTGTTCCGATTCTTAGGCTAAGAGCAAGACTACATAATGAGGCATCTCTTGTGGATGGAAACCATGCGGCATTTAAAGTTCGCTTCATTGCTGCCGGTCCCCTTCCCTTGTCACAGAGATTTCTGTAATTTGTAGATACTAGATAACTTGGCATTTTTGCCTCCATTATTTGATTCAGTAACTGTCTGGAGGGCCATTGAGTGAAAAACAGACTCCTCAAGGATTGGTTGGCTTGGTTTGAAACGAGCCTCTTGGAGGGCCGGTGACGTGTGGGTCTGGGATGCCCCCCCTTCCCCCCCCAAGCACACTGCCCCGGGTTTGGCTGTGTTGCCATTGATGCCCCTCCCTGGTCAGGACCCGCTTCTGCAACTGCGCTCTGTCCTTGCCACTGGGTGCCTGACTGCCCCCTCCTGTGTGTTGCAGTGATGTGCTCGCTCTGCCCATCTTCAAGCAAGAGGAGCCCCAGCTGTCCCCCGAGAACGAGGCCCGCCTGCCGCCCCTGCAGTACGTGCTGTGCGCGGCCACGTCGCCCGCAGTGAAGCTGCACGAAGAGACTCTGACCTATCTCAACCAAGGTAGCGCCACGCTGGGTGGGGGTGGTGGGTGGGGCTGGGAAGACCTCCCAGCAGGAGTGGGGAGCGGACCCGGATGACGCGTTTGGGCTTCCTTACCTGGTCACAGTGGGGTTGGCTGGGAAGGAGACTGTTGTGTCAGGGAGATTCCGTTTCCCAGCGCTGAGACCTCCCTGAGCCTCCGCGTCTTCGTCTGAAAAGTGGGCGCATCAGCTCTAGAGTTGCTCAGCCAGCTGTGGGTAAGGCAGGCAACAGTTCTTGCACGGTCCCCGACGGGGCGGAGGCTCAGTGATCAGCAGCCATCGTTAGGGCTGCTGTTTACTGTGACCGTGACCGGTGTCCTTTCCTCGACATAGATTGAGCACCTTAGGTATACGAGGTCTGTGGTCCCTTCTGCAGCTGCAGTGGTGGGAAGGGCGGCCCCGTCCTCATGCAGCACCGGGGGGCTGGGTTCCACGCGTGTGGCGGTGGCGACAGGACCGCCCGCCGTGTCCTCAGGCAGGTGGCATGGGCTTTGACGTTTGAATCTGCACTCTAGCACTTCCTCACGCCGTGACTTTGAGCTGCCTTTCCTTTTTCTCTTTGACTCCGTGTTGGCCTGTGTAAACTGAGTAGTGTAATTTTGCGACATTTGAAAGAATGCACCCGTTTAAAGTGCCTGGTATGATAATGGCTGTTCAGTTGCTGCTTCCCTTTATCAGGACACGTGGATCAGTGTCCTAACAGATGGTATTTTTTGTGGTTTCTGTGTGATCGTGTGTATGTGTTTATTGCACTTCCTTCCTGGGTCACCTCGTAGACACCCTGGCATCAAGTGGCTTAATTGCCCCTAGGTTTTTAGATGGGCAGAGCAGAGGGGCAGGGGAATGCGGTGTGCTCTAAGGTGGCACTGAGTTGCAGGGGAGCTGCTGTGTGGAAGCAGTTGGTCTTCCCGGGGCTTCATTGGTTCTGTAGAACTTGGAGACCTTAATTTGGAGAGCCCCTGGGGGTTGGGAATCCAGCCCGGGCATCAGGCTTGTCCTCTGCTGGCTTGCCACCTCCGAGTTAGCAGGTGGCTCTGCGTTGGCCTGGGGATGGAAGCAGCCCCCTGCTGTGGTTGATGTGGCCCAGTGGAAGGGCACGATGCTCCCTGCGGGTAGCTCTGTGGCCTCCGCTGGTTGACAAGCCCAAGCTCGGTTAGCAGCAGGGCGCCTGACTCAGGCCCTGTGGAGGGGTACCTCTGTGCCTCACTGCTTGTCTGCGGAGTGGCTTTGGCCATTTTCCTTCTTTCTTTCTCCCAGCTTGTGGAGCTTTGCTTTCCTCTCTGGGCCTCTGCTTTTTTGCCTAAAGGTAGCCTGAAGAGATTGGCTGATGTTCACAGAGCACTGAGCTCCGAGGCTGGTCTTGTTCCTGGCCCTGTCCTCTGGTGCTGAGGAGTGAGTGCGTGGTCTGGGGCTCCATGGCTGGCCCGGGACACTGAGGGGGACACTGAGGGTGCACTGGCCACCCACCTTTGCCTCCTCTGCAAGGCCTTCCCACCCACCCCCTTCCCTCCACCCCTGCCCCCTGTAATCAGCCAACTTTGGGCCATGTTTGACAGTCCGCATGCTAGGCCTTTTTAAGAGTTTCTCCTTGGCTCAGTATAGAAAAGTTGAAACAGAGGGGAAAAGAGTTGCCTTATGGTCTTACCATCCTGTGTCAGTTTGGTGTATTTACTTCAGATATTTTTTTAAGTTGCATTTTCCTGATTATTAAAGTAACATGCTCATTATAGAAAATTTGGATGATTTAGACACGTATAAGGAAGAAGATGAGAAGGAAAAAAAAATTGAAATCTCTTCTGATTTCACCTGAGGACCACTGCTAGCCTGATTTCCACACATATTTTGTGTATGCGTCTTTTAGAACTGATCCTGCTCCAGATGTATGTCTTCTTTTCATTTATTAGATTTATGAGCTTTTCTCATTTCACTCAGAATGCTTTTGAGAACTTAAATTTTTGTAATGCGTGCATAGTATTATGTGTTACAGGTCTGTGGCTTTCATCAGTTTCATGGGGGGGGGACACTTAGCCCTGAGTTGTTGTCTTTGTGTAAAATGTTTTTTAAAAAATAATAATAAATTATCTTTGAAGTAGGATTACTGGACTGAAGGATTTGAATAAGGCTTTTGACCCATTTTTACCAAATTGCCGTCTCAGCAGAATGCCCCATCTCATATGCTAGCCTTTCCCAATATTGGACATTGTGTCTTTTCATCTGAGTAGTGAAACATAGAACTTAAAACAGCGTTTCTATCACTGTGGTTATTATAAATTAGCACGTATCAACCACTGTGGTCGAATATTATAAAATAGGTTTCTGAGTCTTTTAAATTTCTCCACCAATTATGTTCATGTTCTTTGCACATTTTTGTTTTGGGATGTTTATATCTTTTTTTATCTTGTTGATTGTAAGAGCACACCATATATGAAAACTATCAAACCTTTAGTTCTTATACGTTGCAAATATTTTTCCTTGTTGGTTGCTGGCCATTTAACTATATTTATTTTGTGATAACTATATTCATGTTGTGGGATCTATGTCATGTTTCTTTCTTTCTGTGTAAAAATTTATTTGAAATGTCTATTGTAAAATCCTACAGTCTTTTAAAATAGTTTTTCTTCTATTCTAAGAATGCCTCCCCACCCCACAATCACATAGTAGTTTCCTAAATTTCATTTCATGGTTTCTAAATTTTAACATTGAAATGCATTTGGAATGTTTTTATGAAACTTAATAATTAGGTATCTAGTGATGTTTTTGAATTATTATTGCATTATATATATATATTTATTTATTTCAGCTTTACCAGTGAGATTTATATTGTCATGTTGCATTTGGAATTTATGATGTGATATAAAGGTCTAACTTTATTTTTCTAAATAGTCAACCTGCTAGCTATTGCCTAGTTTATCCTTTTCTCACTGGCTTCAGATACCACTTTGCAACATTAAAAAAGCTGTATTCTAGAGTATTAGTCCAGAAACAGACCCTTGTAGAGGTGTATGTCCCGTAGCTAGCCCTGAGATTCACTGATTCTTGCCCCATTTCACATTGAACTATTCATTGTGGCTTGGAAATTGTTTCCCCATTCAAGTGTAGGAGTTCCTTTCATCATTTTTCTTAGTAATCTCAGCCATATATTCTTACAGATGGATTTTATAATTACCGAACCTCCTTCGTATACCTTTTTCTTTACATCGATGAGATCATATACTTCATGAAATTGTTTCATGATTTTTTTTTTTTAAAGATTTTATTTATTTATTTGACAGAGAGAGACACAGTGAGGGAGGGAACACAAGCAGGGGGAGTGGGAGAGGGAGAAGCAGACCTCCTGCGGAGTAGGGAGCCTGATGCGGGGCTCGATCCCAGGATCCTGGGATCATGACCTGAGCCGAAGGCAGACGCTTAACGACTGAGCCACCCAGGCGCCCCCATTTCATGATTTTATTAAATACTATTCTTGTAATAACATTTTCTGTCATTTTTTTTTTAAAGATTTTATTTATTTGAGAGAGAGGGCATGAGGAGAGGGGGGAAAGGGAGGGGGCAGAGGAAGAGGGAGAAACAGACTCCCGGCTGAGCAGGGAACCAGCCTCGGGGCTCCATCCCAGGAGCCTGGGATCATGGGATCATGACTGGATCTGAAAGTAGCCGCTTAACCAACTGAGCCACCGAGGTGCCCCATTTTCTGTCATTATTGAAACCTCTTTACCGTCACTTAAGATGTCTGCATATTATTTCGCTATTTCTCTTTTGTTATTTAGGAGAGTATAGTGGCATAACTGCTGGAAGAAAATACACAATGTAATTATTTTATTTTTTTTTTTTAAAGATTCTATTTATTTGACAGAGAGAGACAGCGAGAGAGGGAACACAAGCAGGGGGAGTGGGAGAGGGAGAAGCAGGCCTCCCGCGGAGCAGGGAGCCCGATGCGGGGCTCGATCCCAGGACCCTGTGATCATGACCCGAGGCAAAGGCAGACGCTTAATGACTCAGCCACCCAGGCGCCCACAATGTAATTATTTTAATGTCTGTCTCCCATAATAGAATGGAAACTCTATGAGGGCAGAGCCATATCTGTCTTTTTTTTTTTAATTTTATTATGTCATATCCGTCTTTTTTTAAGAGTCTCATGCTCTTCCGACTGAGCTAGCCGGGCAGTTATATCTGTCTTTTTTTAAACATTGTATCAAGCTTGGTGTGTTGACACTGAAGTAGGTGCTCTATAGATACTCGGAAAATTAAACAATAGGCATGACTTATTTTATGTCCATTTTATTTTTTCTCTCCTCCCTTTTTGTTGCTGTTATTAATAATGCTGAACTGAGTTATCTTTTTCAGCATATCTTATTTAAAGTAGCCTCTACTTCCATGTCATATGACAAATAGTCATTGATTCACTTAAAAACCATAGTTTTGACACATCAGTCAAAACCTTTTTTTGGTTAATTGAAGAGTTAGCTGTTAATAGTATTTGACGTTTATTGCATCGGCTCTGTGATGTCTATTACGCTATTTCTCTGAGGCCGTGCCATACCCTCTTCCTTGTAATGGTGTTTTCAAAGTTCTCTGAAAACATGAGGGCATGTTCTGGCTGTAAGACCTTGAAACCATCAGATGTTCACTTCTCAGTGCAGTGTCAAGCCAGTGTGTTACCTGTGGTGCCTTGTCACCAAGCCCAGTGGCTAATTTTATGTATGGTGAAAACAATTTGTAAAACAAATTGTGTCCTCCTCTTGTGACATGGAGTCCTAAGGAATGGGTGGCCGGCTGTTGCATGGAGGTCTGCAGCGTCCCAGATCAACCTTTCTGTCAGTGGCCAGATCTTTCCTGAAGGTTGGAGCAGGAAGGAAGGGGCAGAAGTGTGCTGTGGGGGAGGAGTCAGGGAGAAGAGTGGAAAGAGAACCCCAGGCAGTATCTGTGGGAATTCTGTCTTGGAGATAAGGAACAGCTTTGCAAGAATGGCCCTTGGATCTT